TTTTTTTTTGATTAGCGAATATTTAGCTGAGCGTGAAATTTGTAATCATAGGATTTTTTCATGTATTATGTACTCTCATTAAAAATAAAGCTTCGCTGATTTTCTGGAGTGGTAGAATATAGATCTCGTTTCTTTTTTCTTGAACGACGAAAAGACCGGTCGATATGTCGCTTCCATAATTTAAGACTTTTAAAACTTTTTAGAGACTATGAGATCAAGATGCAAATATAATTGAATAAAAATTAGTGAATAATCACATAAAGGCAGTTTGTCTAAAATATTGTTGCATAATAATTGCTAATAGTAGGGATAATGGAATTAATTATTACAATATCACGTTGACGAAGAAACAAAATAATTCAACATAAAAGACGATTAGACGCTTGGTAATCTCGAAGGGTTTCGAGAAAACGATGTAAATCCATAACTTCTAAGATTCGTTTAGCAGATTCTATCTAAGTTTATGGAGTTACCGGATTGTTCCATTGTGCTCTTCGATGTATCGACGATAATTCGATAACAGATAGATGATCGCTGAAGCGAATATGTCGACCAGTTATTTCCATAGATGATGTCGTTGTCAGAATCCTCTTCGTTTCCCTTTTTATCCCAAATATACCATCATCACGTCGTATCGTTTACACAATGCTGTGCATATCGACATTCAGGTTGCCGACGAACGCAGCTCCAGCGGTTTGCGGCGAACCACCCCCTGTTGCAGCGCCCGTCCCCCCTGCACCACCCGCAGCTGCACCTGGTCCCGCGGCTCCTTGCAGCGTACCCTGCGGCATCATACCTGGTGGATAGTTGTACGCGGGTGGAGCCGGCGCCGATTCCGGCATGAATTTCACTGAAACGTTCAAATGAAAATTGTATTAGAGTCTGATCAGAGCGTTTTAGAATTATAACGTAAAACGATAATGGGGATCGATACGAAAAATTCCTTGCATATTATTATATTATGTAACATCTTTTTTCTATAGAATCTTTCCTCTATAGAAGTAGTTTTTTTAGTAGTTTTTAAATTTTTGAGGAGAGATTTATTTCATGTATGTCAGTTCCATGTTTGTCAGAAAGACAAATCAAACTGGATTGAGATTTAGAGATCGAGTGAATAAACACGAATGAACAATTTGTTTCAATGAATCGCATTATACCAGTATGGTATTATTTGCATTCATTGAAGCAAGTTGTTCAATCGTATTTGTTCTTGCTCGTTCGCTTGATTCTACTAGAGCCCACTTTCTTGATTGTTTTTTAAATCTGCTGTTAATATTGAAGAGTAATATTGATTAATATTAATTTATTTATTTATTATTGTACTTTATTTAGTGCTGCATAGATAAAAAGGATTAAACTTCAATAAAACACTAGCTATGAGTAGACTTTTAGAATTTTTTCTTAGCAGTAAGAAGTTTTTATCATTGCACATTTAAGAGTAATCTGATTATATAGATACAGTATATATTCTAAACATTTTTGTTTTAAAGCTTTAATTGAATACCGAGTTTAATTGAATACAACAGCTTTTCGACGAAAAAAAGTATAAAGTGAAAAAAACTGTTAATAGGGGTCGAGATATATAATAATTTGTCGAAAAAGTGATATCTCTGTTAGTTATTTTCTGTATCATAGGATCTATCTTTTATCTACGGCATAAAAATAATATGTCGTATTTGATATCTTTTATTCTCACATTTTTATAATTAACACATAGAAACATATAATTTGAATAAATAAAAAATATACAGGTCGTACAACGCTAGAACACAGAAATTGTATTTTCACTTTTTTTTTAAACAAGTGTGTTATATTACAGTGTCATCTCTCTTTCTCCCTCTCTCATTTTCTTTCGCTCTTTCTCTCTCTCTCTCTCTCTCTCTCTTTCTCTCTTTCTCTCTCTCTCTTTCTCTATCTCAAAGTGACTTTATTCCGTTAGATAATAGTGTGTAGATATTGTCGTGTTTTATTTTAAATTTCAACATATGTGCGCGCGCCCGGCACCATTTGTTACATTAACGATAATTTGAACAGTTGTACAAATGGACAGTGAATGAAATAATTACGAAGCGACAGTAATTGGACACACACATATCACTGACGTGTCTTCTACTTTCGATCAAACGATCACATGAAATATGAATTTATTATATTATATTATAATATATTCATGTTATTAACACAGCAGTATTTAAACGAATATGTGATGATTTTCTGACAGTGTGAAATAATAATAACTGAATAATGGAATACACAATGAGATAGAAGTATATATTTTACGTAACCATATGGACAGAAAAAACTCTCTTAAGAGAAAATGCAAATGCAGAGAAATAAAAGTTAAAGATAATATGTTTACTACGATTTTTTTTCAGTATCACGAGACTGATAATAAATGTTATAATTGGATTATTGCAATTATTAATCGACAAAAAATATAAGAAACTATAAAACAATTTAGATTCCAATAGAGTTTAATTAGGAAATATCGATCGTACATTAATAAATTAATAACTGAGGAAATGATTATGATCTAATTATAAAAATATGTCTTTAAATTATGTATATTAAAAAAAAATATTTAATTTAACAATTTTGAAATGTACTACACAATCACGCGATTGTCAGTTAAAAAAGCACATATTGCACATCATTTCATAATAGCTACTCCACGACTCTGCTCCACTGAGGAAGTATAGATTGAAATCAAATAAGAAAGAATATAAAAATAAAACTCTTAAGAAAGTAGATAAATATATTTAAAAAATGTACACCGGCATACAATAGCAAATTTATTGTTCTTACCTCCTTTTTGGATTTAACGGATATTAGGCTTTATAATGATCCTCTTCTTGGAAGACGCATTGCAATATATATTCAATCGTCAATAGGTATTAAAAAAATTTTCTAACTTTTTTCCTGTCATAACTGAATAAAACTTTTCTTTTTAGAAACGTGTCTTGTTTTCTTTTACGTGCAGCAAAATAAAAGAAAGAACTGAGAAACGCGTGGCTTTTATCCATTTTAATATAAAATGCAGTAATAAAATTCTTAGAAATTCGGTGTGCTCATAAAAAAAAAATATACGTGTATATGTATGTAAGGATTTTACGAAATGCGATTTGATTAAAAAGTAAAAAAAAAAATTATAATCGATCCCCTTCTTTGTTGCCTCTTCATAACTTCAATTCAACTACGCAGTGTATTTTTTATTCGATACTGTACAATTGTTCAAAGCGCAGCATCAGAGTCATATTCGTCGTTAATAATTAGGGATACGTCGACACGGTTAAGATATGATGTACAACTATGTGTTCATAAGTTGATAAACATAGAATGATCGTTTTTAAATATTATAACTCGGGTGTGCAGCCATTTCGCGCGACAACTTCGAAGAATTTCTCATTCGTCGATCGGCCTTTCGCTTTTTCATCCTTGCGATTTTCGCGATTCAGCAAAAAAGCGTATCGCATTAACAACTTGTGGTCCCCAATGATTCCTCAATGAGATTATCAATATTATTTTTAACAACGTCATGAAATTAATTACAATAAATTGTTAGGTAACAAATATTTATGTAAGAAAAATCAATTTGAAAAAAGTAGAAGAAGATTAGATGATTTCTTTATTTTGTTTTGACCAATTAACGCTATAATTAAGTACATAATCAGATCGTTCAATAATTGCAAACAATTAATATTTGAAATATTGTCGTAAATCTCACTTCCTAAAATTTTTCCTAAAGTGAATCCCGGCGCGAACGAAAGCAAAGTCGATCGTATTCTGCCGATCGACTTGATGAAAAGCTCTCCTCTCTCTTGGTGAATTTCGTCGCGTCCGAAAGTCGCGACGGAATGGCGCCTGCAGGCATATTCACAAATATCGCGCGTCGGGGGTGGGATCGAAGGGAGGAATAATTGCGGAGGATCACGGACGATGATTAATTTCGTCTCTCGATATTATTGCTGAATCAGCAGCAGCAGCAGCAGCAGCGGTAGCAGCAGCAGCAGCAGCACTGAAATCAGTAAGGATCGAACGGAAGAAGGAAGGGGATCGGATAGGATCATCGGAGATCGACGATGATCTTCATCGACGAATAATCGGCGTGTCGGGCGCAATATACCCTTGTCGTCTTATCTCGCGGATGAACGATAAGAGGATGATCGAGGATGGAACCTTACCCTCGGATATTCTCGAATCGAAATGACAAGAATTCCTTTCTTAGATCGGCGCGATCGCATCCGCGAAGCGGGCAAAGCAAACCCTTCTCCATCGTTTTTATTATAATTATTATTAATATTACCATTATTATCATCATTGTAATTGTTATTATTAACATGTATACATAACATCTTGTAGATAATTCATTTTTAAAGCCATAAAACGTTACTTATAGCTGCTGCGCCTCCTTACAACATGGCGTTTCTTTTCTACCCTCTTCATCTCCTCTCCCTTTTTCACTTCTCCTTCTCTTTTCTTTCCCATTCTTTATTATTTCTTAGATTTACTGTACACAGGCTGTTCGAAAACGTTGATCGCCATCTTCGACGAAGGCAGGCGATTGTCACTATTATTTCTTTCCCGGTTGCTTCTTTCCCTCCTATTCCATCCCTCCTATCGATTTTTTTTTCTTTTCCATTACAATTCGCGAAAAGCAAAAAGCAAGATGCAAGACAAAGGAATAATTAAAGGACACAAGTGATTCTTCTCAATATATAATTGGAGCGGATTGAATCCGATAAATGGCGCGTGAGAGACAAATGATATATTATTTACAGTTTGCGTGATTTACATTTATGTCTATAAAGTAAATGTCTCGATATACATCGTGAACGCGTCGCGTATATACTACAGCAACTGCCTTCGTCGGAGAGATTTTACATGATGGAAGTTTTTACGGACACCCTGTCTTTCTTTATCTTTTTCTTTCTATACATATATATATATATATATATTTATATATATATATATTTCCTATATATTTAAGTATTATGTGTCGCTGCTATAACGAATTTTTCCTCTTTTTTTTTACGAACTTTTCGCTTCTTTGTTTACAATAACCATTTGTTTCTGTATTTCTCATTTTTTTCTAACTTTTTTCGGACAATCTTAATTAACGAAGATGGACGAAGGAAAGCGCGATGCACGTATCTCGTCTTATCAATCAGTTGCGTTTAGATCATCTTATTATGAGATTTTAATAGGATCAGTTTTAATTCCGCTTATCTAACAAAATCTCTGACTTAGACTAAGACCTAAGATAGATCTAAGATATCTTAAATCCATTAAGATATCTGTATTTTCAATTTAATTTCGCATTCGCCGAAACTTAAGATATGAATTAACGTTCCTCAAAATAACGTACTGTTGCGAAAAGAGCGTGGTAATAATGAAATTTTACGTCAATTAAATTAAAAAATAATCTAAAGTAATAACGCAATGAAATAATGATCGAGAAATCAGCGGACGTGTTAATTATCGCCGACGCAACCTTCGTCCATGCGAGATATGGAGATCGTGCCGGTTCGGCGTGGATCCCTCGACTTCTTCTACTCGATCCGGAAAAGGAAAAAAAAAACGCTATGAAGGATAACAGGAAAGTTCCGTGATCATCGCGACGACTCTCTTCGTTGTTCCCGCTCGGATCAACGTTTCCTGCTTCCGATCATCCGCTGTCATCCTTCCTCCTTTCCCACGATGAATCCCAAGGCCGACCATCGATCGATTGATTCCCGCGCGCGATCGATCCGACGATTACGTTCGCGGAGAACTCCGGCAGAGCTCATCAACGGCTCATCACAATTTCCATCTTGCGAGATCTGTCTCTCTAAAAACCATCTCCTCTTCGGAAATTTCTCAGCCGCCGTTTCTTCCTTCTCTTTCTTGATCCTCCTCTTCTCCTTTTACCTCTCTTTTTATTGTTGCTGTAGTTGTTATGTTATTTTACTTTAGCTCTTACTCTCGCATTCAATTTTGCGTATTGCTGCCGCCGGTGACGCTCGCTGAAAACAATAATAACATTTGTTCTCCTCCAATGAATAAGGAACGGCAATGATTCGACCCATGTTGCTCTTAGTCTTTGTCTCTTCGACTTTTTATTAAATTTGTTTTTCTTTCCGTTCTCCATCTTTTTTTTTATTTCCTTCCTCTTTATTTCGCCATCTTTCGCATGCGGAGACTCATGGCGGATCGCATTCGTCGTGGACAAACGTTTAAATTTAATGCATATCAAGATCAAAATTATGAAGAATATAAATTTATACGTTTTAGTAGTTTTGAAATATTCTTAATGAAAAATATTCACGCCATTATATCCACGACGATGCGTTTGATAAACTAAACTTATTGACGTTCGCAACTTAAAGCATATAACAATCCATTAGCCATAAGGATAAAGAAAAATTGCATGCAAGTAGTTACAGAAGCGTAAATGCGTATATATACAGAGGCCACTCGATACACATAATACATAAACTTTTCCCTGCAAAAATAATTAGTGGCAAGATACAATTCCGCTTTTTGCCAGAAGTTCCATCCGGAGTCCGTCTTTTTTTCTTTTCACATTGTAGGCGACAAAATTCGTCGCAGTTCACTGGAAATTCTGGCCGAATTTCTGGCTGAAATTGTTCGCGTTAGAAACTTTTGGCACATTCCACATAATGTACAAGCCATGCAACGCTATACCGACATCGGCTTTCAATCGAAGAATAAATAATTAAATCGATGGCACATGCTCCGTAAGAGGTCAAGCACAATACGCGAAGATCGTCCCAGAAACTTTTGCTATGATTCGTCTTTATAATATTGGAATGTATAAGATTATTAAAATATGCGCTATCTTGATAATATATACAGTGTATGAGTTTCGCGCTGTACTAAGAATGTTATTTGAGAGAAAAAAAGAGGATGAATGATGGGAGAGAAAGAGAGAGAAAGAGAGAAACATGCAGAATGTAACAAGTACGAA